GACTTCAATAGAGTCTTGCCCGGTTTATGAGCCTTCGGAGCTCAGCCCTGAGCAGGGGCTGCTTGTATAACGGCTATTGCATGATTAGTATTTGTATTACAATAGCACTTCAGGACCCCAATTGCGGCTCAGTGCCCCATTAGAGTAGTCCTTGTACAAACACGTAGTAAAGAGGTGGGCTCTGACCCAAGGAGCTAACAATCGAGGTCTTTACGGCCCCCGAGGCACCTTAGGATCAATTATTTATATTACAGTAGCACTTACGGCATGTCTGTGCCCACGCTGATGCGAGCAGCTGGGGTGTCTGTGGCCCGTCCCTGGGAATTTGGGGGGCTGCGGGGCGGGCGGGCGACGCTGGGCTTTGCTGCTTGAGCCGTGATCGGCCACTCGATAATATCCCGTTCCTGCTCCAGAGGGGTTAATCCTGGGCAAACCCAAAGCCCGTGGGTGCAGTCCCTCCCCCCCGGGGTGAGGGCTGGTGGAGGGGGCAGCAGCCCAGAGCATCGCACGGGTGCAGCCTTGGCACCCGCATCCCTCCCGAACTGCTCCGGGCCCGCCTGCCCCCTCGGCCCAGGCACTGCAATTCCGATCACTCGAGGCAGCCTGGAAGGCAGGAGGCTTTGGCAGAGATGAGATATTTAAGGCTTTTTTTTTTTTTTTTTTTTTTTCAGTCTCCTCTCCGATTCCTCGGACCCGTTTGTGCTTTGTGTCGCTAAGCTCTCCTCTCCCCCCACCTTTTCTAGATGGGTTTAAGCGTCGAATCCAAGCATCTTAGTCAAATTTTGCTGGTGTCAGCAGAGAAAAGGGGGCTTGTGTTTGTCCCCACCTTCCTAAGCCACCTCTCCTGGTGGGGCAGCAATTCCCTGGTGGGGACTGGGGAGTCCCAGCTGCTGAGCGTCTGAGGTGCAGGGGGTGGGGGGAAAACCCAGCTTGCTCTTTTCACTTTGACATATAAATCTCCATCTCATTTAACCACCTGACTCCTGGAACTGGGCCCTGAAAAAGGGAAAGAGAAACCCTAGCAAATCTCAGTCGACTCGCAGCGAGCCTGGCTCTGCTGTGATATATCACTCTCCCATGTCCCAAACGCTGCAGCTGGGCAGGAGCCGCGGTCGATCCCAGGATCCCGGCACACAGCTGGCTGTGATCTTGCCTTCTCTCCTGGAGAAAGCCCCGGCTTTAATACGATGTCAACATGAACAGCTGGCTGAGGAAATGCAAATTGAAGCTACATTTCTGAGCAGCTGACACCGCTGCAGGCGGCCGGCACACAGAGCTGTGTGTGGCTTTAGCTGACCGGGCGTAGAGCCCGGCACAACGGGGCATTACAGGGACCCGGGTGGAGAAGAGGGGGTGTGCCATGGGGCTCCCCAGGGCTGCTTTGAAACTTTCTCCCTGTCCTTTTTTTTTTTTTTTTTTTTTTATTTTTTAAAATTTCCTTATTTCCACCCCCCCCTCCTCCCCGAACCGTTGAAAAAAGCAAACTCAGCGCTAAGCCAAAATACAGCGCTGCGAGAGGGGAAAGCAGCCAGCCGCACGCCTCGGCCTCGCTCTGCCCACCACCCTCCCAACCCTGCGGCTTTCAGCAGGAGCTGGGGGGGCTCTGCCTGTCCCGCCCCCCCCCCCCCCCCAGCCCTGCCCGCAGCGCTGCCGGCGCTCCCCGACCCGCCGCGCAGCATTGCAGCAGCCCCGGTGCACATCTGTCCCTGCGCCTGCTCTTATCTGCTGTGGCTCAAACCTGCCCTGCAGCATTGTCAGAGTTCCCTTGAATTAATTTTTTATTTTTTTTTTAATTTTTTTTTTTTTTCCCCCCTCTCCCCCCACCCTTCCTGCTCTGCTCTCTAGCACAAAGTGCCCTGAAGCTTTGCAGCTTTTCCAGCATTTTTCTCTCCCTCTCTTGGTGTCCCCCTCGCCCCCCCCGCCCCGGAGCGGGGCAGAGCCCCGGCGGTGGGTGGGCAGGAAGCTCGGAGCTGCCCAGGGACCCGCGTCCAGCTTGGCTTTCCCGAATGGAGGCCAAGAGCATTAAAGCCCACACCATAAGTAAACAGTGCAGAAATTATAGGTCCAGGGTTGGGTCATGAGCTTTGCTCTTTTGGTTTCTTGCGAGGAAAATATCCCTGGGATGCTTCCGGCTGGAAGGTGGGGGGGGGGGGGGGGGGGGGGGGGAGAGGGGGGAACTGAGCACGGCTGTGTCGGGACAGAAATGTCACCGCAGACCCCAAGAGCAGCTGGGGCTCACTGCACCCCTCTCTGCTCGGGATTGTCCCCGCTCTGCCCCGCTCCGGTTCTCGCTGCGCCCCGTGCAAACTGGGAGGGGAGACGGGGGGGGGGGGTGGTGGGGGTGGGGGTGGCAATGCAAAGGGTCCCTCCAGCCCAGACCCCCCGGAGAGGCAGGCAGGCAAAGGCTGTCCCATTTTTGGGACGTTTTCCAGCTCGCCGCTGGGTAACAGCCCAACCCACCCACACAAGCATCAAGAAAGATGGGGACTGGTTTATTGAATTGTGCCGCGCCGGGCCTGCCAAGCTCTTGCCGGGGCTCCCGGGCTCTTCCTCGCCATAACACCGGGAGCTGCGTTTGTTCTTCTTTCCAAAAGGAGCAGCAAAGCCAAAACTTGCAGCGGGCAAAGTCCGATCGGGGCAGGGGAAACCCGCCACGTGCTGCGGGGGGAAAAAATGGCTGGGACCAAAGCGTTCCCACCAGCCGCGGTGGCTGATTGCACAGGTAAATAGTGACACTGACCCGAACTAATGCACAAAGTAAATGAATCCCTTTCAGTTAATTGGCTTAAGTGTTACTTGTAGCGAGAGTAAATATTTTACAACGGTGCGGAGGCTTTGCATTGCAGTGGTGAGCTCTTTGTGCTCTGCAGCGAGGTGCCCGCGGTGAGCCCGGCTGCCCCGGGGAGCAGGTCTCCCCGCCGGGGTGGGCGGTGGGCTTTTTGGCCAGGGAGAAGAGCCTGGAGACAATAAACTCTTGGCAAAGTGATGTTGGATCAGGTTGGCCTGGTAGGATTTATTACCAGGGCCCGAGGTGTCCCACGACGCGCTCGGCTGGCGGCGTGGGGCCGCCGCCTGCGAGCTGCGTCTGCCACGCGGAGCCTGGGTCAAGCCGTGATGTTTTTGCAGATTTTTTCGTACAGGGATAACTGCGCCCTGGGAGAGGGGAACCTGCCCAGACTCGTGCTGTCACCAGCCGCCTCGGTGGTGATGCCGGCAGCGGGTGGACGTTTCTCGGTGTCGGAAATCAGCGGGGCTGAGGACTTGCAAAGCTCAGCGCAGCTGTGCCCCAGGGCAGAGGGTTAAGTGTTGGGGGGGGGGGTTGAGGTGGCAAAGCTGGGTCGCCCGGAGCACCGTGAGCTGCTCCTGAGGAGCAGGGGGGGGTTTGCAGACCAGGCGAGCTGGGAGCACTGGTTTATCTGGGATGGGTTTGATGGGAGAGAATTCCTGGCCGAGGCGGGGGGGGGGGGGCTCAGGGACGAGCCGTGACATTGATCTCGGAGGATGACACGTGTCCCGCTTGGCTCTTCAGGGGATTTCAGCTTTTGGGGGAGAATCGCGGCAGTTTTGTAAGAAGGACCTGACAGCCCAGCCCACCTTGGGCCGCTCTTCTCCCCCCCCGCCCCCCCAGCTCACGCTCAGCATCTTCCCACACGGGTGCCAGCGTGGCTTGGGGACGGCTGGAGCTCAGTCGTCACCTTTTGAGGTCACACCCTGCACTGTCACCCAGGGCCAGTGGGGGTTTGTCCATCTCCACTTCCCCCCCACCCTGCCCAGGCCCCCCCCCCCCCCGGGGCGGCTGCTGGGGACTCTGGTCCCACACTGAGAAGGGGGGGGGGGAGGGGGGATACACCCCAAACCCCCACAGTGAAGCCAAACCCCAACCTGGGGCTTCAGAATGGACCCGGCTTTGCTTGAAGGCTGTTAATAAACCAGACGGTGGTGGGGTGTTTAACTTTTAATACACTGTATATTTATTGCAAACAATAATATACAAAAAAAAAAAAAAAAAAAGGTAAGTTTCACAAAGAGAAGGATCTTGCAAACAAAACAAAACAAACTTACCTAAAGACAAAATATGATTTAAATGACAGGTCTTTTAAGTTACAGAAATACTTTAAAAAGATCTGCTTTTATACAGAAATAGAAAGATGCCATATTATAAGAGTGCTTTAAGATTTTTTTTTTCTTCTACTGAATCCCTAAAAAAAAAAAAAATGTTAACAAATATATCATTTTTTTAAATAAAAAAAAGTTTGCTGTCTTTTTAAAAAGCAATCCTTAACTGTTCAGCCACAGCTTCACCAAAGTCAGTGTCCCCACCTCAAGCCAGTTTTGGGGGGTGGAAGGCTAAAACGGTGCCGCCCCCGCGGCACGGCCGGGGCGTTGGGTCTCGTCCTCGCACGAGCTCGTGTGTCCCAGAGAGCTGAGGCAGAAAACAAGGCAAATGATTCAGTGATACGCTACATTTGCAATCTTCAGTTTGTACAAATTATTTTTTTTTTTCCAGTTTATCCTTAAGACAAAAGAAAAAAGGAAGAGCACAAGTTTGTACAAACCCAGGACACAGATTCCAAAAAGAATAATAATAATAATAATAAAAAAGAATTAAAGAGATAAATAAAGGACTGGTTACAGTTTAGACCATAATTTAACAGGCACGGTTACCTTCCAAATAATGCTCCGACAAATGCAATCGCTTTTGAAAGGACTTAAAATAGAAGGGAGATTAAAAAAAAAAAAAGAAAATGGTGATTAAAACCTGCTCTTCTCATAAAATAAATAATTTAAAGTATCTGTGATGTCCCGCAAGCAGAGAGGAGCCCCTGGACGGGTGTCGCATCTGGCTGGGGGTTGATCTGGGGGGGCTGGAGGGGTCGAGCTCAGCCCCCCCAGCCCCCGGGACGGGCAGAGCTGGGGACAAGTGATTATCACAGGGCTGCTTTTAAGGCTTCTCAACAGCACTTCTGGCTGTCTTTTTTTTTTTTTTTTTTTTAAAAATATTTTTGTTTTTCTTTCTTAAGGCTCAAGGTTATTCAAAAATAAAGTTAAAATCTCCTCCTGGCTGGTTTTGCTATTAGTTAGAAAAATAAAGCCTCTCCCATGCTCGTCCCCACGCGCTCTCAGCTCGCGTCTCGCGCGCTGCAGGGCTGGTCATCGCTAAGCCTGACGCTGGCCGCTTAACAGAGCTTTGTTCCCAGTTAAAAGCACGCCGTTTTGCTTTTTTATTTTTATTTTTAGAGAAAAAAAAAGACACTTATCTATACAAAAATACCTCTGACTGCAAGAAAACCTAGGACTGCCCCACTAAGTGTCATTTTTTTAGCTGTTGGAAAAATAAGAGCATTTAAAAAAATCTCTAAAAAATATGTATAAATCCCCTCAAATTGGTAACGAATCATACACAGTACATACTAAAAAATATTTAAAATAGAGAATATTCCTCACAGAGGACTCTGAGTTTTCTCTTTTTTTTTTTCCCCCCATTTTTTTTTTCATTTTTTTTTAATTACTGCTAAAAAAAAAAAAAAAATCATTACAAAAGTCCAGAGAACAGACAGCTGAGCTGGTTGGTTAGGAATCTCATCTCCACACTGTGCCCTGGAAACAGAGTTAAAGTCCAGTCCTTGGAAAGTCTGTACCGAGTTTTGCTGGTTCTCGGAGCGGTCTGGCCACTTCCTGGAGGATGCTGTAGTGCAGAAGGCTCGAGGTGCTCTCTCCTCCCCCGCCAGCTTTAAGTTTAGTGTCTTTTTCATTGTAATTATTATTTTAATTTCAAAGAAGGCAAAAGTCTCTGTTGTTGTTGCTTCTTTCGTGCTTTTTTTTTTTTATTATTATTTTTTTCAATGCGTTGTGTTTTTTTTGTTTTGTACTTTTTTTTGTGTTTTTTTTTGTGGTTTTTTTTGTTTGTTTGTTTGTTTTGTTTTTTTTTTTTTTGCTGTATTTTTTTTTTTTTTTTTAACCTGGCTTTAGGGTCTGGTGAGCTGTGTGTAGACGGGCTGTTCCCAGTGCTGCGGGCTGTGGGTCTGGGGGATGGAGGGGACCCCAGAAGTGTCTGCAATGGGGGTGTACATGGGGCGCTGCGTGGGGTTCATGTAAGTGAAGGTGGAGTAGAGGCCGCTGCTCTGCCCGGCGGCGTGGCTGTAGTAGGAGCTGGAGTTCTGGTGGTCGGTGTAGTCGTACTGGGAGCGGGTGATGGTGGGGTAGGAGGAGCCGTAGTGCTGGAGGTTGAAGGAGCTGTAGTTGATCTGCTGCGGGGAGTGCTGCTGCTGCTCGCTGTAGTGGCTGGGGCTGAGCTGCTCCGTCTTGATGTGCGTCCTCTGCTGCGCCTGGCCCTGCTCCCCGCTCAGCGCCGGCAGCCCGTGCTGCGGCGCCTGCGCCGGCGGCGCCTGCGCCGGTGGCTGCGCCGGTGGCTTCGACATCCAGACGTGGGCAGCCCCCCCGCTCTGCGACCCCGACGTGCTGCTGATACCGTAGCTACCGGTGTAAGTGACCTGACCGGGCTGCCCGTGGGTGGCCGGACCCCCCGGGTGACCGTTGGGGGGAAGGTACTGATCGAACTCGTTGACGTCGAAGGTCTCGATGTTGGAGATGACGTCGCTGCTGAGCTCGCCGATGTCCACGTCTCGGAAGTCGATGTGGGGCGGCTGCCGGCCGCCTTCTTGCAGAGGGCGGCCCTCCCGCTTCAGGTCCTGCTTGCCCGGCTGCGCGTCCGTCTTGGGGGTGGTGGGGGGCGTGGGGGGGCCCTGCGATTGCCCTGCGGAAGGAAGGAAGGAAGGAAAAGGCGAGGGCGTGAAAAGGGGGGGTGTCGCTCCGGCGGCTCCCCGATAACCCCATTAATAGTTAACCCGCGGGCCGGCCGGGTAACAGCGCGGTGCTTTTGCAAGCGGTTGCGTAGGGTAACACAAACATCTCCAGGTGCGAGGAACACAGACGCGAGCCCTATCATCAGCGCCGATCTACCCCGCCGGGTAAAATTACCCGAGCCTTCAGACAGAAGCCGCAAGAGCGGGGCCAGCTTTTGGTTTATTTTTATTTATTTATTTTTTTTAAAAAAAAGTATTCACGTTTCCCATGGGCAAAGCGGGGCTGGCTGGAGGGGCGGGGGGGGGGGGGGGGGGGGGGGGGGGGAAGCGGCTGCAGGGGCTTGCACACGTGGGCACGTGTGTTTGTGTGCCCGTGGTACAAGCAAAGCTCGTGGGCAGCTCTGCCCCGTCCCCCTCCTCGCTGTGTTTTGGCGTCTTTCCCCCCCCCCTCCCTTCCCCCATCCCAACCGTCCCCTCCTCACGGTGTTTTGGCGTCTTTCCCCCCCCCCCCTCCCTTCCCCCATCCCAATTTCAGCCTGGGTCAGGATGCAACTTTTCTTAGGTAGCCCTAACTTAACCCCCTCCGTCACCCCTCGTGGGGTCGCAGATACCCACCCGAGTGCTCCCCGGGGGAGTGCACCTCACTGATGCTGGAGGACGACTGCGGGGAGTCCGCCTGCAGCGCCTTGAAGATGGCGTTGGGGGAGATGTGGGTTTGCTCGGAGCCTTCCTCCTGCTCCGACTGCCCGTTCTTCACCGACTTTCTCCGCCGCGGCTGGTACTTGTAGTCGGGATGGTCCTTCTTGTGCTGCACCCGCAGCCGCTCGGCCTCCTCCACGAAGGGACGCTTCTCGCTCTCGTTCAGCAGCCTGGGCGGGGGGGGAAGGGGGGGGACGGGACACACACATGGGACATGGGGGGGTGAGGGGCTGCAGCTCCCCCCACCACAGCACTACCACCAGCCCCAGCCTCTCCCCGCATCCCCCTCGAATGGCAAAGCAAACCCCTCCCCGATGCTGAACCCCCTGTCACCCAACGCTGGTTGTCACCCCCCCGCCTTCCACCCTGCCTCCCCCCCCCCCCCCGATTGTTTCAATGGCCAAACAAGAGGTGCAAGAGCAGTGGCAGGGTCTGCCCCTCATCCCTCCCCCCCAGCCACCCCTGCCAGGGTGCACAGCCCATCCCCGGGGTGCTTTAGGTGACAGCCCTGTCTGCTTTCTCCTCCTGCCACAAGACCAGCCGCAAATTTAGGATTTCCCCCCCCCCCACCCGCTCTCCCCCCCCCTCCCCAGCCTTCTGCAGTCACAGAGTAAGAGGCGGCCAGGTGACTCACTTGCCTTCTGTTTTTCTCCCCTCCCTGCCTTATTTTGGAAGTCGGAGGGCACCCAGCCATGCGCCACTCATCGCACCCACCCACCCACCCACCCGGGGCTTGGCAGCGCATCCCGGCGCTCACCCTGCGCCCGGCTTCTGCCGTCTCCCCCCCCATCCCTCCCCCCCCCCCTTGCCCCGCATCGCTTCTCCTCCCGGGCCAAGCTGATGCAATCCAGAAAACCATCATTTCCTCTGGACAAGAGCACAAACAAACAAACGCCAAGGCAGGCTCCGCTGGGTGGGGGCTCTGCCAGCGCCCCCCCTGCCCGGTGGGGCCAGCTTCCACCCGGGGCATTGCTCAAGGGAAAAAAAAACACTTGTAAGACCAGAAAGTGGCCACAGGGAATTACTTTCCCTACTTTTCCCCTACTATTCTGGCTTCTCCTACGCCAAACAAGTTTGCCAGCACATACAAAAGTTTTCAGTGAGTTTTCCTGGCTTGAAACCATCCTCTCCCTCCTCTTTCACCTCCTCTGACTGCTGGTACAGGCTTAGAGCAGGCTTTGCAGGCTGCAGCCCCCCCTTCACCCCCCAGCCCGGCCTCCGCACTCACCTCCAGAGTTTGCCCAGGGTTTTGCTGAGCTCCGCGTTGTGCAGATGCGGGTACTGGTCAGCCAGTTTCCTCCGGGCCGCCTGTGCCCACACCATGAAGGCGTTCATGGGTCTTTTCACATGGGGTTTGTTTTTGCTGGATCCGTTCACCCGGACCGGCATGGGGACCAGGGTCCAGTCGTAACCCTTGAGCACTTGGCTCACGGCCTCTCGGATGCACACCGGGAATTTGTCCTCGTCGCTCTCCTTCTTCAGGTCCGGGTCACCCTTGGGAAAGGTGTTTTCTTGGGGTCTGGTGTTTTCCGTGTCCGAGCCGGATCCAGAGGGACAGGGGGACCCGGCAGAGTCATCCGACATGGTGGGGCTGGGGGCGTCGGAGATACATTTGTCCTGTTCTTCTGTCATTTTCATGAAGGGGTCTAGGAGATTCATGCGAGTAAGTGGCAGAGGGGGGAGCAGGGGGTGAAAAATTAAAAAAAAAACAAAAAAAATAAAATCAGGTGGCTAAGGGGCAGGGAAGGGTTAAAAAAAGTAAAACGAGACGAAGTCTCCACCAGCTCGAAGCCCGGCTGGGGAGAGAAGGGAGAAAGCTGGAAAAAGTTTGCAAAAGTTTTTATTATTATTATTTTTCCCTACCCCTGTAATTCACCAAAAATAAAAAAAAAAAAAAAAAAGAGAGCGGGGGGGGCGGGAAGAAACTTTTGCAAGTTGCTGGAGAGAAAGGACGGGAAGGAACAACAACAAACAAAACAAAAAAAGACCAAAAAAAAAAAAAAAAAAAACCCAACACAAAACCAGAACCCCGGAGTGGCGGGAGGCCGAGAGCGGGTGGGCGGCGTGGGCCGGGGGGTGGCCGTCGGTGGGCGGCGTGGGGCCGGGGTGGGCAGCGTGGGGCCGGTCGCGCCCCGCCGGTCTCCAGCGCGGCTCTGCGGCCCGCGCCGCGGCGCGGGAATAAATACTCTGCGCGGCGATTTCGGCTCGGGAGCGCTCGGCCAATGGGAGGCCGGCCCCCGGGGGCTGGCGCGCACGCCATTGGCTGCGCCGCCGCCGAGGGGCGGGGCCTCCGAGCCGCGCAAACGCCGCCGCTCAGCGTCCGCGCATGGGGTGGCCGGGGGGGGGGGTGGCCGCAGAGGGGTGCGCGGAAAGACGGTGAGCACACCCCCCCCCCCCGCCTCCTCCGCGCTCAGCGCCACCAAGCGCGGGTGCGGAGCGGCGGATGGATGGCCCCCCCCGCGTTCCTCCCGCCGCCGCGTTTTCTGGTTTCTCGGAACGGTTGCGGGGAAATCCCTGCGGGTTTTCCGCGGGACAGCGCGGGCTGGAAACTCCTCCCCCGTCCTCTCCCCCCCCCCCCCCCCCGCTCTTTCCCGTCTCCCAGCTCTCCGCGGGCGCGGAGGAGCGCGGTGGCCGGGGCTCTGCGGAGCGAAGCGCGCGGTGCGCGGCGCCGTCCAGAGGGGGCGCCAAAGGCCCAGGAACGGCGCGGAGGGGGCGGGGAGCGCTGCGCGCCCGCGGGGGGGGGGGGCTGGTCCGCGCCCCCTGCGCCCCCCCCCCCCCCCCCCTTCCGCACCCTTCCGCAGCTCCTCCCCTGCCGGGGCAGTGCGTGGGGCGCGGATCACCTCAAATATCCCAAAGTCCCTTTTTTTTTTTTTTTTTTTTTGTTTTGTTTTTTTTTTTTTTTTGTTTTAGGGGGGGTGTGTGCGCGCTCCGGCGCGTCCCCCCGCGCTCATCCCTTCCCGCTTTCTCCCCCCCCCCCCCCCCCCCCAATATCCTCTCCCCTCCTTTTAGTTCTCTTTATAACATTATTCAGCCCGGCGGCCCCGTCTGGCCCTTCCCGCGGCCGCGCTGCCCCGCGGGGCGGTGATGGAGCCTGCGCTGGAGCTCAGCGGGGGGGGGGGGGGGGGGGGAAGGAAAGGGGCCTCCTCCCTTCTCCACACCCCCCCCCACCCCCCCAAAGTTTTGCCGAGTTGACCAACTCTTACCATCACAAAACAAAACAACAAAAATCAAATAAACACTGGGAGCTTTCCAGGGTTATCTCTAGATAAATGCAAATATTTCTCTTTATAGTGAATCATACAGTCGCTGCGTTTTTAGCAGCAAACTGCTTTTCCGTGCCCAGAAGAATGAAATATCAGGGATGCTGGCAGGAGAAAGGTCGTTATCTTGATAGACATCGGAGCAGGTCTCATCTTTTAAGGTTGAAAGGAGAGGGGACTTTGGTGAGGACCCAATTTCGGCGCAGCTCTGTGCGAAGGCAGCGGGCGAGGCGGGCTGCCCTCCTTCCCCCGTGTCCCTCCCCTGCACGCTCGGCTCCACGAGCGTGTTTCGGGGGGGGGGGGAGAGACCTTCTACCAGTTCTCCCTTTGCAAAATACGCAGTACATAATTTTTCATTACAACTCGAGCGTTGAAAGTTGGTGTTTTATCGAAGCTGCTTTAATTCGCTTCTTTGATTTGCAGCCTTTGTCCTGTTGGACAGTCCTCGGGGCAGCGGCTGGCTCGGTAACCGTACCCCGGTGCGGATCCCTTATCATGGTTGTCACTGTTCTGCTAATAAGTGTGTTTTAAAGGTATTGGGAATGGCACATGAAAAAAAAGTTTAAAAAAAAAAAAAAAAAAAAAAAAGGCAGCGGGAGAAGGAGCTCTGAATAAATGCGTTTGAAAGCAATCTCCCTGGTAGACCCTGCTTGTCTTTTGCTATCTTTCCCTGAGATTTTTTTTTTTTTTTTTTGTCTTGCAAACTTTTGGAAAGTAGTTTTCTTTGGGTGAGTTTAAAGGTAAGTGTCTGTCCTATTTCCAGAGCCTTTGTCTGAAAGAACAGGGGGACTGAGAGCAGAGGGTGATTTTTCTTCAGGAGCATTAGGGGTTTCTTATGCCTGCAACAGCAAAGATGGTTTTCACAGCGTTCTGTATCCTTACTTTGCTAAATATTCAGTAGTCCGAGAGAAGAGATGCTGAATTTTTGTGTCGTTATTTGCCATGGAAAAGGTAAACTTATAGCAAATGTTAAAGGAGATAATTTCGAAATATTTTCCCTTGGCAATTTCAGCTCTAGGCTAGTGCATGGATGGAATTTAGCTCAAAAATCTCTTTTAATATATGTATTTGTTATAGGAACATCAAAGAAAACTCGGGCAGTAGATTGTTCTTATCTCAGCTGGAGCTGCTGTAGCAAAAATCTGAACAAATGTACCTGGAGGAGAAAAATATGGTGACAACAGATTGTTCCATGGCTTTACTGCTGATTGGCAGAGATAAACACAAAAACAATTTGGGAGGATAATTGATTTAATGAAAAGTGTAATAATTAGAACATTTTTCATTCTGAAAGTCCATCTGCTGAAAGGGACTCTGCCTTTTTATTGCAAGAGAATCTGTTTTAACAGAAGAAAGTGGTTTGACAAGTTTGAACAATAAACAAAAGAGAAATGGAAAAGAGCTTTCTAGTTATGTTACCGCAGGTAATTTTATAATTTCTGAATTATTATTTTTAATTCCCGTTCTATGGACTATTTGGACTATACGGGCAAGTTGATTAATCACAGTCGTTTTGCAAGCTTAGAAGTTTCCTTTCGAGCGACGAGCTGTTGCTGCTTTTCCGTCAGGATGGAAGTTTTCTTTTTAAAGAATTAACATTGTTTTATCGCAAGTGGCAGGCTCGGGTATCAGGAAAGATTTTCAGCAAGAAGCGCGTGGATTATAGCCCCCGCTTGATGTTTTTTTTTTTTCTGCCTCGCGCTAAACCGAATCACCGTTTTTTAGGCAACAAGCTTCCCAAGCCTCTGAGCAGCGAGGGAAGGAGGCAGGAGGTTTGGTGGCAGCGGGACTAGCACCCGCGTGGGGCACTTGGGGAGGTTTTTCTCTCCGACCTTACAATATTGATACACGCTCGAGCCGTTGTGCTGAAATGAGTTATATTTTACTGATTTGGGGGGGGGGGGGAGTGGGGGGGTTGCTGCTGGTCCCCCTTTGAGCCTGATGGAGTTTGTTCCTTCCTAACGCCGGCGTGCCTCTCCTCCCCGCCGCGGGCTGCCTGACCCCCCCCCTGCCCCCCCCCCCCCCCCCCCCCCCGGGATGGGTGTTTGACGGGCGCTCGCATCACCAGGGAGGCTGTGATGTCACCCCGTCCCCTCTGACCTCACGCCGGGCCCGCGCGGTGCCTCCGTGGCACAAATCGGTCTCCCCCGGCGAAGCTGGCGCTGCCTCCCCAGCCGCAGCAACGCTTTCCCCTGCTCGCCACGGCGCGAAATGGGGGCAAAACCGCAGGATTTGGGGTTATAAGGGGATTCACTAAAAAAAAAAAAAAAAAAAAAAAAAAAAGCCGTTCCCGCACCAGATCTCTTAATTTTGATATCTAAACTGTACCAGTCATTGATCGATGGCACAAAACGTGAACGCCAGATGCGATCATGCCTTTGAATTTATCCGGGACCGTCGGCTCCGGTGTTTTTTGGATGGCGGCTTTCGGCAGGCAAGTCTTGGGGGTGGTGCAGCGCAGTTAATTGCAGAGTAATTATCGCTCCCTCCTATAAAAATCACTCCCTCCTAAACAATGACATTTTATTAAAAATGAGAGGTGTGCTGCATCCCACCACGCGCAAAATAATTCCAGCAGCCAAGCAGCCTTTGCGCGCTCTGAATTTTTCCTCTCTAATGAACGAGGGCTGCGAGCCGGGCAGGGTCAGCCGGCCCTTGGTCGCCGCCGAACGTTTTCACGTGCCGTGCAAGATGTTAACGTTTTAGTTAATTTTTCTCCATCACCTTTTTTCAGTCATGGTCAGGTCCCCAGGGCAGGCATCCTACATCTCTCCAATTTGGATGTCACCGTGTGAAGCGACACGGATTCCTTTCCCACCTCAAAAGCGTTACTGGTGCAGGAATGGAGCTCGCGCTTCGGTTTCTAGGGTGGCCTGCCCGAGAGCCGCGGGACCGGCCGCCGTCCCCAGGACATGAGGCTGATGTCAAATCCCTCCCGAGGTGGCCCTTGATGCCCCAAAGGATTTGAGCCGGTCCGGAGGTGACCTCGTGCCGGGGCTGATGGACACGTCTGCCACGGCCTCCCGGGCAGGGTGTGCAGCCCCTGCCTTGCGCAGAGCTGTGGTCATATCCCCTTTTGTGCCATATCTATTTATTTTTCAGAAGCCCGAGCGTTTCTCAGGCACATTCTGACATGTCCTTATCGGAAGGTCATTGTACAGTTGAAAAAAAAAAAAAAGAGAGAAAGAGCAGTAGCTGATTGGCGATGTACTGGGGACAGAACTGTCATTCGTTTTTTAAATTTAGCCAAGAATTCCTTGATATTGTATTAATTTAAAAAAATCTATCTATTTCTCTGGCCTGTCATGATAATATATCATCCTCAAAAGCTGCTACGACTTGGGTTGGAGACGACACGGTGTGTTGATTTAAGCTTGGCAAATGCTGACCTGGGAATGGATGAGAAAGCTGGAGGACGGGCAGCTTTTTCCCCCCTTTTTCGGTGTGTAAGGTGACAGGGAGCCTGAAGACTCCAAAGCAAGTGCCTAAAAGATATTTGCTTTTACAGCGTTTTAATTCATGCCTAAAAATACCATCTTGATGGACTTGCTGTATAGAATAAAGTGAAAGAAATTCAGAAGTTTCAGAAGAGTAATCTCAGCGCTGCAGTAAAATGATTCTGATTATTGCAGTAAAATAATTCTGATTATTTACAAGGGCTGAGCTGGGTGGCAGTGTTAATTTGACCACGTCTGTCTGTTTTAGTTATTAAATAACTGCACACTCATTGTGGCTGGTGAAATAGCATCACTTTAAATAGTGCCGAGATTTACCACTTAAAAAATAATCCTGGGAACATGAAGCCGCCGGGGCCAGATCCTGCCAGGGGTGATGAGGATTAGGCTGAGTCTCAGAGATAGTGGTAAAGGCATTGTAGTCTTTTGAATCAGAGAAAAGC